TGAGAATTCAAACTCTTCAATAGTCTGTTAAATGTGACACTTTGTACTCTGTGTGTTGCCTCTGTCCCTGTGAGTTCGACCTTTTTACCACTATATTGCAGTTTTAGCCTTTGGTGGGTTATTACAAGCAGTAAAGATGGCATTCGAAGTTCTCAAGAAGGCATTGGTGACAGCTCCAAATTTGACAAAACTGGATTGGCGTAAATCTTTCATTCTTTACACAAATGTACCTTGTATCAAATATTGTAGGATCCTTTAATTGTTGTAGGATGCACCTTAAATCAATTAGATGATTGAAACATGATCATTCAATTGACTATGCTTGTAGACAGATGGTTCAAGTGGAGAAAAACTACTTAGTAATAGAAAGAGAGACATTGGTTGTAATCTTTTCACTTAAGAAGTTTTGCCATTATTTGATGAATGAAAGATTCATTATAATAACTGATCATAAGGCTTTGAAATACATTTTTAACAAGCCTAATGTTGAAGTTATGATAGCTAGATGGAAGCTACTACTAGTAGAGTTGATTATACCATTGAAAACAGACTCGGAAAGAAGCATGCTAATGCGAATTTGATATCAAGAGCATGTGATGATGCAGTAGATGAATCAACAGATGATATATTTTTGGATGAACATGGACACGATAAGAACAGTATCGAAGGAGTACAAGAAAATTTGAGATTTCATTTGTAGAATAGAGTTTCCCTAAGGAATGCACCAAAGGGAAAAAAATTCGTTAGTGAAGAGATGTCAACCTTACATGATCATGGAGAAGGTACTTTCATCAAGGAGCCGACGGACTTCTACGAAGTGCAGTTGGGAGAAGAGAGGCACTACAACTCATAAAGAAGTTTCATGATGGTGCAGTTTGTGGAGAACATTTTGCGAGGAAAGGTAACTCCCTTCAAGATTCTTGATGTTGGTTATCATTGGAATGACGTTTTCAAAGATTGTGTGGAATATTGCAAGAGTTGTGATGTATGTCAATCTTTTGCTAAAAAGTCCATGAAAACCTCTCATGTAGAGGATAGATTTTATCGGTAATTTGAATCTTACTCCTCAAGAGAATAAGCTCATTGTGATAGATTTATATTATTCTACCAAAAGGATAGAGGCATGACCACTTAAATCTACTAATGAGCACTATTGGGACAAGAGGCTTCATGCTATCTTGTGGGATTATTGGACAACATGAAAGACATCAATCGAGTACTCACCTTTTCGCATGATGTATGGAGTTGAGTAAACTTCCAATACAGCTTGACTTGAAAACATTCACAACAATTCAGCAGAAGGTGAAGAAAGCGAATGAAGTGGAAGCTGTCAAGTCTTGCTAGCAACAGCTGATGGAGTTGAAGGAAGCTCGAGCTTTGGCCATGGTACGAGTAGAGCGAGCTCAACAAGTGCAGAAGAAGTATCACAACAAGCGAATCAAAATTCACAACTTGAAGATCTAGATTCCACGGGATTAGACTTTTGACTATAAGCCTGGATTTGATTGATTTCACTAAATGTATGAAAGATGACTGGCTAGAGTAAGTCCAATGTTGATTTATTAACTAGGAAGTTTCTACAAGTTTTAAAGTTTCCAATAGCATGTCGTCACCTCAAGCTAGGATTTCAAAAACTTTTAGAAGGTTTAGATTAGTCAATGGCGTGTTGCCACGTATAGTGTATTAGTCAATACTACCTAGTGAAAAATGAGTCAGGAGAAATTAATATATGTTATTATGGTAATATCTCAAGTAGTATAAATATAGAGGTAGAGTAGCGCCTCTCAAGCAAGTTTGGAGAGTTCATGTATAGAGATTTGTTTCATATATGAAAGAGTGACGATTTTTAGTATCTTGGAGTGTAGATGTGTGTGTGAGTTGGAGTAATACAATGAAGTATTATGTGAGTGGATGTTTGGACTATGAATATGAGGAGAAATTCTACTATTCTAAGAACCATGATGAACTGCTGCAAAACCATCTGAGGTAAACCAAAGTGATAGTCAGTTTGGAGAATGCAAGACGGATAGTTTGCGATTCAAATCTATGAAACATTCAGTATAGATCGTATATGATTCAATCCCAAGTCTCTCCATAACTAACTATTAAAAGAATCAATGACACTCTTGACACCATCACTCTAATCATAAAATATGCACCCAACAAGCCACAAGGTACATCCAAAAATGATGTTTCTCCATGCAACGAAGATGAATATCGAATAGGTTAGGAATTGGTTAGTGCGGTATGTCCAATTTCACTAGTTCTCATAATTAGACTTATTTTCAAAAATCTAGACAATCTTCCTGCAAGCTGAATTGTTTCCAAAAGTTTACTCTGATAAATTTCTTGCGCGCAAGTACTTAGTGAGTCATATCGTTCCTTGATCTGTGTAAAAGTAGCTACGAGCTTAGTCACGACTGTAACATCGATATGTTGATTGATATTTATTTATTGATAGTAACAAAATGCAATCAAACATAGAAGAAATAAATCAAATCTATGAAAAAACTATTATCATGAAAATTGCTCATTCAAGAAAATAAGCATTAATATAAATTTTATGCACTTTTAAAGAATTTTGTTAATATATCTTTACTTTAAAAAAAACTTTTGTGACATTATAATTGTTCATATGCACATTAAGATACTATGCATGCATGTTTTGATAAAAATTTTTGCACAATTTCAAGGCTTTTATATTACATTTTATCAAAAGAATCACGTTTATTATATCTAATTACACAAACAAAATATATGGACATATTCTTGAGTTAAGAACTTGCATGCATCAAAGTATATATACAAGATCAATTTGTAGATAATATATTTTGTGTTAATAAACTCAGCTGAATCAATTTTCATGAAGATAATTTTTTAAATGAATTGAAAAAAATTTATTGTTTAAATTTGACATTGAATGTAACTGATAATAAAATTTTATTCCAAACTCAAAAATAAAAATGGAGATCCCACAAATAACATGAAAAATTCGGTTTATTTTTCAAATAAATGACGAGTAATCAATTTACTTCCATGAAATTTTAAAAAAAATTTTAATTAAAATACTTTCTGAAAAATAATTTTATCACGTATTTTCTTAAGAAATAATTATGGAAGTGATTAAAATATCTAAACAGTCAGAGAGTATCATATTTTTGACGGAAGTTTTCAATATAAAAAAATCAGGTTTTAATTTTTTTTCTAATTTTTAAAATAGATTGTACTGAAAAATAGAATTTTTAAAATAGAATTTTGTACATAAAATTTCCAATCATGTGTTCAAAATGCTCACGCTCAACAGTTGTACATCGAAATGTAGGCCCAAAACGTTAATATCATTTAAATATTTCAATTTACGAAGAAATGCAAAGTGAAATGAATAAAAAATTCAAGTTTATGCAAAAGAGAGGAAGTTTCAACATTTCAGAAATGAGAACTAGTAAGCACTATTTAAAAAAGGATATAATATAAGGTCAATATAGAGAAAAAGTTATCTGCATGAAATAAGCTAAATTGTAAAGCACCTCATAATGATCTTTTATTTTATGTTTGCAATTCTATTATATGTTTACTGCTTTCAAATCTTTTAAAAGGTTTATGAATGAAAAAAAAGAGAAATGAGATATACTGAGAGTGAAATTTCACTAAATAATGACCAAAATTTTCAAAAAAAAATTAGCATAAAAGTCATTACAATATTGCTTATTATTTGTGATTTTCAAGTGATGTTTTAATTGCAATCACTCTAAATATACCCAAGGGAATACTTCAAGACTTTCACCAGGTATATTTAAAATTTTCTAAAAAAAAAATTCTAAAGTTTAAGGATTATCTAGGTGAAAATATCATTCTTAAAAAATTTGGAATAAAAATCACTTGAAATTATATAAAAATGAAAAGATACAGATTATTTCACTTGCTTATGTCTATTTAGATGACTCTTACTGAGATGTTTGAACTCTGTATTTCAGCAGTTCTGATATGATTTTTATCTCATCAAGGAAAAAAAATCAAATTGTGATGACTAGTCCGAATGATTAATGAATTTAATCAGTTGTTCATGAGCATAAGATGTCACAGTTTAAGGTGGGCATATGCATAACGAGATTGGTGCAATTTCTGAAATTATTCTAGATATGAAACAATTAATATTTTTACATTAATGTCGTTATGCCAAATTGATCTCACAAATAACATGAAACTCTTCTTTCTCAAAAAATATGAAGACCACTCGTAATGAAGACATGCAATAATATGCATGCATACCAGGCACCAAAAATTAGAGCCGTGTCCAAACAGACACGTGTCTCCAGCCGCCACGGCTTCTTAGCCCGTTGTAAGCTGTTGCTCCGTCACTCCCGGAGGCTGCACAAAATCACCAATTCCATCAATTCCATTGAATATCAATTCAATGTATCCGTATCAGAATTTCCTGCAATATCTACCATGTGCTTCAGTTTCAAATGGCAATATACGCGTTGCAGATCCAGTATGAAAGGATAGTGTAAGATACAATAATCACTCTTCTGCAATCTTGTATATCAAACCGGAATCATGTGATACAACAAAAAACATTCGACTCGTTGAAAGCCAATGGTTTTCAGAAGAATTCCAGCGACAATGAGAAGTACATCATGTATACAATGTCCGAAACAGCTTGAGGTAGGATCGTCCTTGAAACTCGTGAGAGCGCTGATCTTACAATTAACATCACATGTGCTTCTCGTCCTCACAGGAAACAAGGACTGAGATGGAATTACATCTGAGTCTAGAAAAGATACGATTCTACCATAGCCACACACGCCTTCGAACTTAAATAAGAAGATTCTGATTTCACTCAAGATAATGCTCAATAGGAATAAAGGGTATGCTGCTTGTGACCCTAGTTTCTGAACTTGGACACTCAGTTGGGGGGTCGGTTCCTACTGAAATAGTATACATCTTTGCTTCCACTTCGACGATTTACAGCTCGAAGCTCACTGAGCGGTGACCTTAACCTACCCTCGAAAAATAGCCGTAGTGCCTTCAAAATAGTCCATCGCAGACTCATCTTGTCCATTTTGTACCTTGCCAGGCCGGAGGTCTACAACAATCACAGATTCTGAAAAACTTTCTGCACCTTCAGCACGCCTCTTTTTGGCCATCCGCGCCAGAAAGATGGCCGTTGTCTCTGCAGTAGCCCCCCTCGCCAGAAACGTGCGAGCAACCTCACATGCAACCTCGTTGGATATGACTTTCCACAGGCCGTGACTGGCAATTATGAGACATTCGTCATCCTTGCTCCGCATTTCGAAAGTAAACTCTGGCTCTGGGATCAAGTAAATCGGAGTATTATCATCATGCACAGGACGACAGCCAAGAGATCGAGTCACGGTACTTAGATCTCCAATAGGAAATCCAAGTCCTCGTAGCCGAACCTTTTCATCATCCCGGTCGAGTATATGGTCGTTAGAGATCTGAATAACTTTCCTTCCTTTAGATAGCACGACGCGGGCATTCCCACAATTTGCAACGAGGATTCTACAAGTGGTGACGATGGCCACTGTAGCTGACGCACCTCTCATAATCGGTAACTCCATCGGATCAGGTAACTCATCATCTTCCGGGCGGTAATTTACAACCTCATCATGCATCCTTAAAAAACTGTTCCTGATGCCTCTCTGAATTCGCTCACAGAAAAACTTATAGTAACAAAGGGGATGACAGTCTTCTTCGTCTTCATCCAGCTGTCTCTTGACTTCTTCAGCAACGATCTCATGAAGGCGGCCTTTACACAAATAGGCGGCAACGGAGTCTCCGTTACCGTCAAAAACTGCAAAATAATGAACGCTCGGATGCCCAGGATTTGTGCTTTGAGAATCACACTGGTTGTCATCGGTGGGTAACGACAGAAGTGTAGGTACGGCTATGGCTTGGTTGTCCACATGACTTCCTTCTTCGTCAGCACAGACCACTCCCCAAGAAGGGCCGTCTAGTATGTTGCAACTTATAAAGCTCACCGAAGAGACCAACATTGCGGATGACTCCTCCTCCTCCTCAAGAATTATCTTCTTCTTAGGTGGACTAAACTCGAGGTCTTGTTCAGGAAGTGCCGCCAGTACTTGGTTTCGAGGGGTTTCTATCTCAGACAAATCCACTGGACATGTATTTTCGACCTCGAGGACGTGGGAAAGGGCAGCTTGGTCCTCTACAACCTTCTCACCTCTCAATCGACCAAAGGTACTGCTCTCCCCTTCATGGACTTCACCCCGAGTGGAACTGATGAGCCTTCTCTTACATGCGGCAGGCTCCACTGTATCAGGTACAGTATTCGAAGGAGTTTTTGAAGGCGTTTCTGGTCCTACTGGCGAGTTTCCAAGATCATTCGAGACAGAGTTATCTTCCTCCGAGACTGTTCTGGCATCGCTGGCATCACATGTTTCTGATCCTACTGGCGAGTTTCCAAGATCATTCGAGACAGAGTTATCTTCCTCCGAGACTGTTCTGGCATCGCTGACATCACATATCACAGGGATCTCTTGCAGACGAAGCAAACATTCGGCTGCAGAAGGAGAATCGATTTTTTCACTTCGCACCTGCTTGCTTACACTGGACTCTCCCTCAACAGCTGGAGCGACATCCTTAAAACCCTCGGAGTGAATTGCAGATGAAGTGTTCAATGCCCCAGGTTCCTCCGTACGCTCTTCTTGTTGCAACTGAGTGCCAGCACTGGGCTCACCTTCTTGCGTGTTCCACATCTTTAGCGTCGGACAAGCAACGAGATCGAGATGACAAGAGAGATCAAAGCCCGCCGACTAAATTAGCCGACCCAACACGAGCTATGGTGGCGTGCGTCGATGCTGTCTAGAACTGGCACCTTCTCGCTCCATAAAAACTGCTCGGCACTAGGAGAACGCACCACCAGTCACGTCCGCACGAGATTTCCTCGACGGTTTGTCGGGGAGGACGCGACTCCATCGGCCTCTGACCTTTCTGATTCCTATGTCAAATTTGAAACTCGAATGTATTCTCGTTCGCCCTCAGTTGAAAGCAACAGCTTTCAACGGAGGGCGAAGTAGCCGTGGCGGCTGGAGACACGTGGCCGTTTGGGCACGGCTCTAATTTTTGGTGACTAATATGCAGACATATTATTGCATGGAATGGAATAATGGACCGTCCTTGAAATTAGTGAGCGCGCTGATCTTACAATTAACATCACATAGTGCTTGTCGTCCTCACAGGAAACAAGGACTGAGATGGAATGACATATGAGTCTAGAAAATATACGATTCTACAATAGCCACACACGCCTTCGAACTTAAGTAAGAAGATTCTGATTTCTCTCAAGATCATGCACAGAAACTGTGCTTGTTTTTTTTTCTTTTCTGATTTTGGGTTTCAAAATGATACACAAGCTCATCTGATCTTGTCGAAATCACACGCTTCAGAAGTTTGGCGACGGGCTTACGGTGCTCTATGGTTTTGAAAAGCGGCTGTGCCGGTGTCTAATGCTCAGATAGTGCAACAACAGTTGCTGAGTAGCTCTACATTAGGCAGAAATAGCTTTCCACATTATTTTTACATCCACCAGCTCGACGTAATCCATTTGATCAATCTAAGAATCAGATACTGAAATATAGGGATATGGGCTCAATAGGAGTATAGGGATTGCTGCTTGTGCCTAGTTTCTGAACTTGGACACTCAGTTGGGGGGTTCGGTTCCTACTGAATAGGATACATCTCTACTTCCACACCAAAGGTGTCGACGATTTACAGCTCGAAGCTGACGGAGTGGTAGTGGAACGCCACTTCAGAGCCTTGTAAGCTGTTGTGATGCTTACAGCGGGCGGCGACGTCCTCTTGCATCTTCGATCCACCGGATACAAGGACTCCGACGTTCTTTCCTCTGTATAGCTCGGCAAACTCGCCAAACATTCCTGAACAACGCCATCAGCTTGTCATGTGAGCACGTGCTCGAATGCGGATTTGCTTTGCAAAGCGGATTTGAATCAGTCTCAATCAGAGCTCCGACGGAGATACTAGGATTAGGAGTGAACTTACCTTGCCAGTCTGGTCTCCTGCCCAGAGTTACATCTCCTCGCCAAGCGGTTCTCGGAGAAGCACCAAGACTTTCGAGATCACCGCCAGCCTGAAGGGCATGGCCATCCTTGACAGGCGATGGGGGCATGCTGTTAACAAGATCCTGAGTGCTACCTTTGAGATTCGTGTTCTTGAGGCTTCGATCCCAGAAGTACATCACAGCTCCTCCGCATCCGCACACGGCCAAGAACATCGCAACGCAGTAAAGAAGCGCTCTGACGTAGTTGGTGTAGTGACCGCCGATGAATTGGTTGAATAAGCCCCAGATGATAACATATCCCATGACAGTGGCGAACACCGTAGCTGCAACCCACTTGGTGTCACCTGCAGCCGCCATGGCTGACATTGCTTGAACCTCGTCAATGGGGTGTCCGTAAAACGACAAGGCACGTTCATCGGTTCGGGTGTTTCTGTAGCTTTCGTATGGTACAACGCCTTCCATGGATTCCAACTCGCCATCCTTCAGAACTTCCTCTTTCGAGGTAATGAAAACATGTACCGAGATTTGCACACGTTGCTCGTAGCCTGGAAGGATGTCTTCCGGGTTCAGTGTATCCAAGAGACATATATCCCTAGCACTTCTCACACAGAAGATCAGCTTGATAGAGGTCGGCACGTCTTCCTGCTGAAGTCTATGTCTGTGGAGAACATCTCGTAAAATCGCCAGGAAAGGAGTCACTCCAATCCCTCCGGCAACCAGTATCAGGGACTTCTTCCTGCAAACCAATTTGCTCTCACGACGTTACTAGGCAACTTGCTGCAATGTGTGAATGATCAAACTAGTCAGATTGATCTGGTACATGATCAGGATGATCTTCTAAACACTTCCTAGAGGCCAACCCCGAGAGTGTCAATACTTACTTCAAGTAGAAGTCTGTCTCGTCACCGTACGGTCCCTCGACTGAGAGCTTGAACCCAAATGGGCACTTGATCTTTCCAGCTTCTTTGTGTGCCTTGGATTCAACGAGGGCGTCGTGGAGGTTCTTCGTGTATCCACCCAATGGTTTGATATATATGCAGATCTGATTACTTCCGTCGAGTGGACTCGATGCCACGCTGAATGGGTGCCACTCGATTTTGGAAACGGTCGGAAACAGCACGTAGAGGAAACTCAGAGCATTGTACTCCAAATCTGTTCGAAACCACAGACCACCCATCCAAATCTCGGTGATCAACGAGATTTTATCAGAACTCCAAATTTACAGTTCAGCGGTTGTTCCACACTCAGCTATCGCACCTAGAATGATTACTTTTCCTTCTGAAAGCCAGTAATCTGAATTCAAATCCAGTTGCAGGAGACATACTCGCTGGTTTCGCAAACTTCAACTCGATGGCGCCGGAAGGTAAGAGTCTGGTGGAGAGCACGTCCACGGCTTTCCGGGACTGCACCATGCGCATGAAGCGATCGAGGAAGAAAAGCAGAACGGGAATGACGACGTAGACCATTTGGGATTGGCAATGGAAGAGGAAGAACAAGAGAAACACCAGATATAACTGGTGAGTGATGAAGAAAAGGTTGAACATTTCTCTGCGCACTTTCTCGAAAGCTGTCGCCAACATCAGCACACCAGCTGCAAGAGAAATGATACCGGGGAAGACCGCGATGCCTCTTGTCTTCCACGACCACAGCTGGAAATGTCAAAGGCATAGCCACGAGTCAATACGTGCTCCATATCGGAAGGACTCGAATTGTTTGGACTTGAGCTACCAAAATCAACAGTAGCGTGAGTAGCCAGTAACGACACCGTAAGCAAGATAACAAGCTTGAAAACCAAAACGAACTCGAGTGTGCTGAGAAGTACCCCAGAGACGTCATGAATCATGGGATAGTAACCGAAGAAAACCACGCCATGGGCGATGAGAAGCCATATGCAAGAACTGCCTAGCCAAATGTGGTACTTGACTGCACGCTCGAATGGGATTCCGGATACACGCAAGAGCGGGGAAGCTCTGGATACAGGAATCCAAAGTAGCGTCATAGGAATCTCTGCTGCTTTTCCAAGGTAAATGCCAACGTATTCCAGCTTTTGTGAACTCCTGAAACAAATAAAAGAGATCATGAGTCTATGCCTTAGAGATAGGAGAACCCAGCTACTAGATGCCTGTACGTACTTCTCCAACTATAAGAAACTGATGCTCAGCCTAAGCAGATATTCACATGGAAGTTGTCTTCCCATGGAACGCACGGTACAGCTTGCCGTCGCACACCAAAATATCTTTGCCTCGCAAGGAGTTCAGAAGGTGAAAGAATATGTTTTCAGACTTACCGAGAATGAGCTCCTGGTTTTTGCTTGGCAGCGTCGATGAGTTTAGCTCTGTCCACACAGTTCTTGACCGTGTACCACACGGTGAGAAAAACGATAATCGAAATAAAGATGACGTCCGCTAGTGTCAACATGCCCAAGGGCCCTTTTAGAATAATCGGTTGCTGCCAGATACTAATCTTCGGCTTCTCCTCGGACTTTGGGTTGCTGTTAAGCACAATATCTCTCGTCAGCAGGGAAGCAATTGGAGGGACATATAGAGTGCAGTAGATTGACACCAGCTGGTGATTAGAATTGTGCAGTAAGATTTCCAATTCTTAAATCCTGAAAAATTCCAGACAGCAATCCACTTACGTTTTGGCAGCCTTGATCCTTTTACGAAGCTCGATGACAGGGTACGCGAGCACGGCCACCAGGATCCATACGAAAATTTGATTTAGCCATATTGACCCTAAATTCCGGACAAATAGCTCATCAGAGTGTCATATCATCACAGGCTACACTGTTTCAAATGGAAACTACACTTGGAGTAAATAAAAACAGTGCATGCAAATAACCATTATATTCGTCTTCCTCTCCATCCCCTCTGAGATCGCTAGGAGCAAACCTCTGATTCCAAGGAAGTCCACATTCGCTTTAGGATCCAAGATACTGCGTATCCAGTTCCGCGCATCGAGAATGGGCAGAGTGAACCAAAACATATACCACGCCACGCAGGCTAAGACCATTAGCACTTGCAGTGCTATGGCCGCCTGAGCCATGTACTTCGCCATCTGTCCAAACGTGATTCGAAACTTGACCTGGCTCAAAGCTCGATCAATCGTGCTCGAGGCATGCAGTGAACCGAGCTCAGTATCGTGACTCAGAAGATATCTGATACTCCCTTAGGCCTTTATAGTGTCTTCGTCGGTGTGCATTAGAATTATGAATGCGGACCAGTGACAATTTCTGTGGAGAAAATCACTTGCTGGCAGGCATTTGAAATCTATTGCCTCGAGGGAGGAATCCCAGCTCGGAACCGGAAGGCAGGCAGCTGAAGAGCTTGGCCGAGCGACCACGTTCGAGTCGACGAGACTGGAAGCTCGAGATTCAAACTGCTGAATTATCATCATGAGCCCCGGTTTTAAAAGCCCATTCAGTGCAGATGAAACGATGGACGAAACAAGTTTGACGCTTTTTTCGGTAACCATGAAACCCGTAGGGTGTGACGGCGGACTTCAAGCCCGTGGAAAAATTCGCAGCTCTAATTCGGGCTGATGCCTATTCCCTCGAGCTTGTCACTATCGACCTGCATGAAGAGAAGCGTTTGTCAGCCAATGAAGGAGGCGACGAGCAGCCGCACTTGGCCAAGTCTGATGAGAAGAAAGACGTGCGCGAAACAGAGCTCCAGCATCGTCTCCGTCGTTGCGTCTCGTGTCGGAGCAAGGCAATAGTAGGCCCAGCGCGTGGACGATCCGTCTCGCAGACTTGTCTGTATCGAGTTGACTGCATCGTACACGCTCTTCAACGCGAGGACATGCGCCGTACTCGAGGAGTGACGACCCTCGTCCTCGAAAGATTCTGATTAGCCACCGATTCCTCCTCGACCAGGATTCGGTGTCTTCCTGGGGCGGTAGACCTGTCGGATGCTTGAGCTGCCATCTCTTGATTGAAAATATCCCTCGGAGCCTGGTGTATTACAGGGAGGTGCAAGTACAGCCTCAAGTACCGTATCCGTATCCGTATTTTGCCGCCATGTCATGTTCCGCGGTCAACGCTCTCGCCAACTTCGACTGTGGCTCTCAACTTTCTGCAGAATCTCTCTCTCGTGCTCCGGTTTGGGGCTTCCTGACATGTCGACCAGTACTGTTGCTAATTAATATCTTGCATGCCCACTACGAGCCCCTGGCATCAATAAGCGGGAGGGAGCCTTTGCTCATTCTGGAAATATGAGTATTTTATTTATACCACAGTTTGCTGACAAAATCTTCATCCTGCCCAGAGATTGTGTACTGGAGTCCGAACCATGGCAAGGATTGTCGTCAACTCGGTCTGCGGAGAATTATCGCGTGATTCCAACCCTCTGTTCTTGACCTGTGATTGCGGTCATTTTTGCACAGGAGGCTACCCACTATTCTAGTCTCTGAGGTCAGCTTTTTCTTCCGAGGTGGAGCACGTGAGTGTGTTCCCGAGTTACCTGAGTTTGTGCTGAGTTTCACGTGTTCGTTAACCCACACCTCCTATCCAGATTTCTAACAACTGATTGTTGGGTCATACTTCCCCAATGATAAGCACGCATTAGTGTAAGAGTTCATCATTTACAGACCAGGCTTGCACGTCTCGATCGATAGATCTTCTCGCTACTCTATGTCGTGTAATCGCCGGACAATAATTTTAGGCTTGGTTGAAGGAGGTAAGTTCATCTCCGAAAACTCTAAACATCTGTTTCATAAGATAATATGCTGGAAATATTCTTAGATGTTAAGTATATATTCTTTGAAAATAATTACACACTCGTATATACTCTTCGAAAATAATTACAAGTAGTCTCATAACATACCTTGATTTATGCATAAATTTATGAGATATCGATAGACAGTGATCTCTATTGGTGCGAATGAGTGACATGTAAGGACTGAAGAGTAGTTTAACGTTGAGGCTAATTGAGTAATAGTATTGTGGGATATATTGTATAAGATATTATAGATAACTCCAGTTGAAAAGATGCACCATGACCTCACAGGAGACCGTAACCGTCAAACCCAGCTTGTAGAAACATAATAGTAGCACTTTCTGACTTCCAATCGTTCTTAAAGGCGTAGCTCTTTTTTAAATTACTTGATGGCTAGCTGGTATATAATAAGCATTTATAGTTCTCACTGCAGACGAACACAGTTGGAATGGTCCATTGAGGAGACCTCACAAAGTTCTCGTTGTCTTAGATGTACTCAGACGTTTGTAATCGAGGGCTGTTCCATTAGGAGCCACATATAACAAGCGAGGAGATAAAGACTACCGTTTCACGTTAAACAACATTTCCCCACAATGGTTACACTGAAAATATTGTGCAATTAGAAATACATATATTTCCTCCTTGGACTCAAGGTGACCATAAAGAGAAAATAATGATGTAATTTTTACTTTTTATAACCCTTTATAAATTTAAAATGAGAGATCATTGACAATGTAAATAGCACGAATCGTTCACGATGTAAGAGCTTGTAATAATTTATAATACTCCGTATGTTTGATTAAAAGAAGCTTGTTTAAAAGCTTCGGTTTCTAGTAGGTCTAGTGATATATGATTCACTATAATCTATTTTCAGATTATATTTTACAGAACTCTTAGTAGAGTGTCATCTCTACATATGAAACTGGAATTTTGCTTCAACTTACGAGCGAAATTTTGAACCTTTTACCTTGTGATTTTCTTATATATAGCTCTTGTTATCTAGAAAGTACTTAATCATCCTTATTTTTTTTTCCTTAAAGTTGCCTGTTTAAGAAGATGGGTGGGTACAAACCTTTCCCATCATCTATTTTAATGTATATATTTTCTCTGCTCCCTGTGATACCTCCAGCACACATCTTGGTTGTTCTCAGATTGACCTCTTTCTGGTTTCGGCCATTCCATCCTCAATGTCAATATTGTTGAGCCTCTTGAATGGCTGAACCGTCTGGACAGCAATTTATATATTTTCTTTGCTTCCCTGTGATACCTCCAGAACACATATTGGTTGTTTTAAGAGTTACATCTTTCTGCTTTCGGCCATTGCATCTTCAATGTCAATTTTGTTGAGCCTCTCGAATGGCTGAACAGTCTGGACAGCAATGTCGACCTGAGCTAAGGACCTCTATGATCTCTTGCGGCTGTGCACACGAGCTCGATTCATCAGGTTCTCCAGCGACCATTAATCGCGCGTACACGGCAGTATGTCCAGCGTGTTGGTCAGCGCCACATAATCTACCACGTAGATCAATGAAGAACGATGTTAAGTTCACCATGTTAAGAACGATTTGTCCTGAATGCCCACTCGCAACACACCTTTGCCGCTTTCGAATTCTGCCAACAGGTGAGACCATAATTTGCTCTAACAAGCCGTCAATCTTCTGAGCGATATATCCTTGAAAGCCTGGCTTCATTTCATCCACCGATTCTTGGTATTAGATTTCTTCTTGTTGTTTTGAAAGACTAAGTTTATATGAGAATCAGACAACAGGATACAATCATTCATGAAGGAATGATTCTGAGTGCCACTGAGAAATCCCTACTTTTCTGCCGGAAGCTCAGTAGCTGCGCGCTGTAAGGGGAAGGTCTGAAGGGATGTTGGTGAGGTTGTGCTATCACGATACGCGTGTGCTTGAGTCCAACAACGATGTTCCCCAACAGAGAACCCACTAGATTGCAGTAAACCCGCTTACGTATCAGAAGTCGTACCTCTCGTACTCTTGAATGTACTCTTCCGTCTTGAGCTTCCACCGAAGCTGCGGCAGGTCTGACATACTTACTGAAATGAAATGAGTTGCAATAAGATTCGTCTCCATCGTCTGGGTGGCGCGGTTTCTGCTCAACTTGCCCTTACTAGTTGCCGAAAGAGACAACGCCCGTCGATTGCTTACTTAGAAAGTAATCAGGAGATCATCATTTGCAACGATTGAAACAGGGGAAGTTCTATCCAGCAAGAGTACTTTGATGCCGCTGACTGACAACGGGATCCTGTACTGATACGAACGGATGTACGTCGCCGCGTACGAGTGCCATCTCATGCAAATGTGAAATGGGCACTGGGAAGCAGATAAAGGCGCTACAGTTCATAGCTATCTTTGTCTACAGATTTAGAGGGATGGATGATAAATAGAGCAGCTTCCGCATCTTAATTCTACAGATTGACTCTATTGAATTTGATGGTTTCTGTCGACCTTATTTACGATCAGCATTCAAACGATAAAAGACGTCTGAACTTTGTCCGTGTGGTACCTGACCCACTCGGTTTGGGGAAGGGAAGGCTTTGAATTTATGATGTGAGTGAGAGAGAGTTCAGTGACAGATGACCATGCTGTTGTTAGATCAACATGATTGGAATGTAAATGTGAGGTGAATCTAAACCCGGCTTCCTGGAAGTTCTGGAGTTGTGCACAGATGAAAGTTTCTCTATGAGTTTTGGTGTAGATGATATATTGTTTCCTGATCTGATAGAACGGTGTTGGAAACATGACAAAAGATAATTATATCACTTAGGTTCGGCTGAAATCCGTTGTCTTTAATCTCCTACACAATCAACCGAGGCTAAACATAATCTCAAAACTGATCCACGTGCTGTTTGAGAGAATTTACGTCATTGTCCAACTATTTTTCCAGTATGGAAATTGAGAATTGACCTGTACGGCTAAACGCCTCGTACTGAGGATACATGACTTTCGTTTCTTGAAATCAATTGCTGGAACGACCGTCATGCACATTCTAGATGTCGACTACTCCTCAGAGTTCCAATCACAGTTCCAGGATGCTGTCACTAGGATTCGGGAGCGAACTTAAAACGTACCTCTTCATTCGTGAGCTCGGTTATAAGGAGTGTACTATTAGAAAGTAATGAACTCATGATCTGTGAGATTTTCGATTTGTGATTTGTGATTTGATTTTGCTCAATGTTAGCGGACCCTAGCTTCATAGAAATAAGTTTTCTCATGAAAAACCAAAGATGATAGTTCAATTTAGAGGATTCAGAATTTCAGATAAGCCAGGCTTGTCTCTGCGACCTGGTAAACTCTTTGTCCAGGTCAGAGACGAAGAACACGCCGTTATATTACTTCTCCTCGGCTGTTTCATCACCGCCAATCGACCAGGCAGGTAAATTACAGCGATCAGCTTCTAATATATTATTGTGCTACGGACTCATGGGGACAGTAAGCAAGGTGAATGAAAGGCTTCAGAAAGCAACGTTAGCATGATTTAAGAGGAGCCCTCGTGAGTCATCACCTCGAGGAAACGATGTGGGCTGAAGTGGTTATAAGGGCGAGGTATCTCCAGGTCGACACATGCCTAGATTATAAATGACAGGAGAACTCAGATTAGAGCACCGGAGAATTCAATAGGTCTGGTTCGTAATGTTTACATAGATCCTACTCATTTTCTACTTGAAAGTGGATTTCTTAACCTTTTCAAACTATTGCACTCTAGAGGCTGAAGCTCTAAATCGGAAATCATTTACATCACAAGGGATGAGATTTATTGATGCTTCTCGCTTTACTCTTCAAG